TCTCTCTCTCTCTCTCTCTCTCTCTCTCTCTCTCTCTCTCTCTCGCTCTCTATTTCTCTCTCTCTCTCTCCCATGTTCGTAATCATACACGTTATCTCTTTCAGCCTTCTCTACCAAAAGTCCAGTTGCAGCAAACCAGTTTATATATCTGACGTCAATTTTTTCCCCATGCACACACGCACTCGGACATACACATGCGTCTATACATACATCCTCACGTACTGTCATTCATTCACGCGTGCTTATGTGCCTCGTCGTAGTAAAATGGGTTACAATTAACAAGTGTATTTACGTGTGTGTTTATGTGTTAGACGAAAAATGCATAACACGCGGACGAAGCTATGCGCGATTATAGTTTTGATTCTTTTCACGTAGTTTTGTTTTATTTGCGGTCTCATTCGCACACCTGTTTAAACGAGGAAAATCACGATTTCCTTTAATTCTGAGGACCTCGGGCCGTGATAATTCCGCGGCACTATTCACAGATCGACAATTTATGATGCTTCCTTTGATATATTTAAATAATATTTTATAAATATTATTTAATATTACTACTTGATAATATTACTTCATTTCTAACTCCAAGGAATAATAAAAAAAAAAAAAAAAACAAATATACAAAACGCACGTATCTAATGTGTCATGCAAAGAAAAGAATATTTTCTCTTGGTGCTCTGCACTCAAATTTGAACAACGATGTAGAGACACAATGATACCGAAAAATAATTAACAAAAGGGAGAAAAAACAGAATTAGGAAATCTCGTCACGAGAAATCACGCTCGTCCCTCTGTGAACAGTTGACCGGAATTTTGTTGTGAGAATAATGGGAAATCTCTAAATCCGTAAAGTCCATCGCGTATGCGAATTTACATATGGATCGTGAATTCACTTAACATTTCATGCCGAGCGTGTCATTGCTCAAGCTCTTTGTGTATCTATGCAAATCCACGCGCAATGATTCCGAAAGTGTAACAGACTGCGAATGCGTCACCTACTGCCTACTGTTGGTACGACTCTGTATTAATGGACATTGTCCACGGTCAAGATGCTTAAAAATGCCCTTTGTAGGCACCCTGATAGGGGTGACGTTTACTGACCAGATTAAAATGTACTTTCAGGGGTTAGAGGAGAGAGAGAGGAAAGGATATTACCGAGTTAATTCGGGGCTGACCATCGGTACGCGGGAAAATTGGAAACAGCGATTAGAATGTTGTTATTATTATATTATTATTATGTTGACCGTACTTGATCCTTTTTATCGTCTTATCCGTCAAAAAGGTTTTACTTGCTTCATATAGCCCGGCATACATTATAACGCTTCAACCCTCCAATGGGGATTCAAGGGTGATATCACTTAATCATGTTGGGACACTTGCTCGAGTATTAAAATCGACTATCTGGGGCAAAGCTTTCGTAATTACGATCGCACAAATGGCTGTGATGGCTAAATCATACTTTTTTTCAGTACAATCGTTTTTAATTGCACTTGGAAAATTATCAACACTGCCGCTATTTGCCAAAAGGTACTCCCGTTCAAGTAGTCATATTTCAAAGTAGTGCTATATAGTAGTTATTTATTTACAGAGATCATGTATGCCGAATCCGGCTGTTATCTTCGAAATATTCGCATCTTCACATCAGAATTTTAGCGTAAGAATTTTGCATATCGAGGATGAATGTAACAAACTATCTATTAAAATATATATGTAGCAGTGGCAATAGCATTACAGCATTTCGGACCAATCCTGATTTATTTGAATTCGTGTCTCGTAAGTCTCTCGCAAATTTCTCTTCTGTACAATATAATACAACAAGAAAAAAATAAACTGATGAATGAAAAAAAGAACTGAAAAATATGCTCCACTCACGCTCGTTAGAAAAATATAGAATAGTGGTGAATTGCAAGATATGATATTACTATGACGGACTTTGTAGTAGATTCAGTTTTGCCCATATCATTTTCTAAATCAAATCATTAGGTAACCGTTTGCTCTTCGCCGATGGTGCCCCCTTAATCTTACGTCCCTTCATTAAGCCTAAATATTTCTACCCATTGTAACACTAAGAACGTTTACGCGTTGGTTGAAGGGGATAAAGGTATGATTAATACAGATTTAGGGATATAATGAACGCAAAAATACTCTTATCAATAATCATAAAGTAATAATTAATATTAACTACAATAATAATGCAACAGCAGAAACGCATACCTGCCAGTGTATGCAGCAGTTAAGGAAGGAAAAGGAACGTTGGTGGATCTTATGTACAGGTTTCTTTTTTGCGAATACATTTGTCAGTTCTTTTTCTGTGAATACGTTTGTCTAATAAAATCTATTTTTCTCTCTCTCTCGCTCGACCTCTCCGTTCCTTCGACACTGTTGCCCTCGCATTCACTCTATGCGCACTTATTCTTACTTCCATAGGATTAGAATTTGTAAAGAATTTATCAAAAAAGCGTAACACTGGAAAGAAACGTAACGGGAAAAGTGTGCGTTGTTAGATCTCGATGTTCAGGAGAGTCACGACTAACGGTTTCAAATTGGCTGTCTCGCGCCAGCGTTTCGATTGTTCGTTGGCACAATCTATATAATTTCAAATTAAAACACATTGATTTTTTCCGTCGGGCGAAAGAGACAAGATTTAATGATAATAACGAAAAAAAAAAAAGAGAAAAAGATACATGATGATTCCCAGCGAAATAGCGCGCGATTTACGGTACAAAAAAAGGATCATTCTTTGGACTTGTCCTTCAAAGGATAAATACGATTTCTCGGGAATGCTAACATCGGGGAACATAGTGCGGTTCTTCGCCAGTTTGAAACCCCCGCTGTCACATCGACAGTATGTGTGGCCTTGCCAACACGATACAAATAAGAGAATTCTATACTAAAGAAAGGCCGACATCGAAAACGTTAACGTACTCGATTCGTAAATCGATTTACTCTGCAGGCTGCATTGGGCGACTACCATCCTCGAAAAGGATTGCCATGTTAAGGTCACGTTAGCATCGACCACAAGCGTTTATCTTCCTGGGAGAGGGTGATTCGCGTGTGGCGTGTGTACATGTATGTGTATATGTATATGTGTGTTTATGTGTGATAAATTCTATAGATTATCCTCGTGTGCGCAGCATTCTGCCGGAAGTATTCCAGTTTTTTTGCGCGCGTTTCTGCAGGTGCATGTCAAATGTACTTGTTTCAGGTTCCACTTTCAGCGTTTGTATGTGTTTGCCCAAGAAATATTTCTAAAAAAAAAGTTACAAAAGCGCATCTTTGGCTCCCCTCTTCCCCGAATGCATCCTTCACCACGTCTTAGTAATGATCTGCATTCTCGTGCACGCTAGAACAGAAAACAAAACGGAGTTTTCAGTCAAAGACCAATAACGGTTAAAATTGAAGAAAATAGAAGAGATGATACAATTAAAACGAAACAATGGGCAAATTTTCTTATATTAAGTTTTAAGATTGTTTCTCTTTTCATTACAAACTATTTTCTATTTAAAAATAATTTACGAGGAATAAAAGCGCAGAATGACAAAAAAAAATGGAAGCTTCTTATGTTGCATAAATAAGATTAAATCGTCGATATAAAAAGCCTTAATTTATATATGATATCTGAGTGATGCTATAAACATACTCGGAATAAATCGCAATGAGCGCACGAAGCCTTAATTGTATTAGTATGCATCACGAATAAAGTCGGGTTACATGAGTCATCAGGAATCCGAAATAACTTGAATATGAATAAATGCTTATCTAGCTGCACTTATTAGACGATTATAGTCACATTAATGAAGAAAATGTTACTGTTTATTCGTGCGAAATTACGACACGTCGATGAGCAAACGGGACGCAGCGGGAATGGTGTTAGTTCCGAAAGCAGGTCTCAGGCAGAGGCGAAGTTCTTGAACACCTTTGTAGGATGATTAGTGATTCCTTGTTACATCGAAAGTAGAACAACAAAATCACTAGTCTTCCATACAACGGTGCTCCATTCTCCCTCACGCTGGGCTAGAGATTCCTCCAGCGCGTCGTTCTCCTTCCATCCGTCTCTTTCCGTTCTTACTCCTTCACCTTTGCGAATGTTACAGTCACCTCGATTGTTTGGTTAGTCGGATTGTGTTAGTTCCTAAAGATGATGAACTGACTCGATGCGATGGCGGCGATATCGGTTATAAAGCGGATGAAGTACGAGAAATTATTATCGCGCATGACAATGAACTGTACTCAAATATATATTAAACATAGCCGCGTATAAAATCGAAGAGTCTGAATATATGTGCTACATATATCATTTACAAATTCTAACACACTACTGATTTTATCTTGCACTCACGAGCTTATTTATAAAGTTAATTTACCTTTTAATTTTTAAGATAGCACGTATTACGTATATAGATTATTCCTTCCTTTCTTCGATTTTACTTTAACAATTATCTTTTCATATCGTCAAAATGTTTATGCGTAACAAAATAATAACAAAGTGGCAGTGCATGAATCCTACAATATGAATCATACAAGCATTAATATCGCACAATTTTTTTTATCATGTAATTACAAAAATGGTACATGCTTAAATATCAAAGTTTTATAATATTTTCTTCCATTTTTATTTAATAGCGCATTTAACAATAAATATATTCGATTTTAAGTTTTATTAATATAATATAAAGGCGGTATTTACAATGTTAACATGAATAAGCAGATTTTTACATTTAATGTAAGTATATGATAGAAATATGTCAATATAATAATTACCTCTGCTGCAGTAGGTACTGGGCCATTTGTATCTGACTGGGAACCCCAGTAATAGTGATGATGCGATCGTTACTACCAGGCAATGGCTCGTCTATAGTTATTCCGGCACCACTATCGGATCTGATTTTTCTGATCCTTGCACCACCTTTACCAATTATGGCTCCGGCCAACTGCAAACAAGGATAAGATTCTATATATAATCAGATATATGTTCAACATATAGACTAACATCAAATATATAAACAAAATAATCATTATTAAACATGACAAATATTCTCTCTCATCTACAAATTATTCTCAATCTTTAGCCACTTAGAAGCACAATGATCCTTCGACATATTTCTGCGGTGTGCATTTTTTTTACAGTTTACAGATATATGGAAAACCTATAGTTTAATATGGTTGATAAGATAATCTCGGTAATTTATTATTGCCTTCCGCGAGGTAGCTTTCGAAAGCAACAATTGAATAAAATCTAATGTTTCTAATCAGATTTTAACTCGGATCTGCGATAGTAAATGCACAACTTTCTGCTACAATTGCCACAATAAATTAACGCAACGAATATTTATATTTTCACAGAAAATAAAATAAACACAAAGTAAGCTTATAGTCGACTTACGTCTTTAGGAATGGTGACTTGTGTACTGGTCTTGTTTCCACTCATGTTGCCCTGGTTGCCTTGGTTGTTTCCACCCATAGGGCCACCCATTCCTGTGTTACCACCACCACTCAAACCATTAGGCGCGCCTCCTTGCATCCCCCATCCATCACCTGTGACAAAAGAAACATTAACACTATTAACAGCTCGTATTTCACGGATATACACAAATTCCCGAATATTTCAACGATGTATGACGATTTAATGGAATATTCCAATCTTTCTCATCAGTATCCTAATCTTGTCGCAGAACTTTAATATCTTTATTGCGATCAAGGATGTTCGGGTCTTCCGATTGAAAGATAGATGTTCCTTTGATCATAGTTTAAGTAGATCATCAAGATTCCTTCTTACCGTTGTAATTTCCGCCGCCGTAGGGTGGCGGGCCGCCTCGGTTTCCGCTACCGCCGTATCCGCCACCACCACGGCCACCGTCGTAGCCGCCTCCTCCACCGCCGCCGCCCACGCGCGAGTTACCGCCGTATCCACGATCGGGGCCGCCGGACATTCCGCCGCCGCCGCCACCGCCGCCACCACCACCTCCACCGCCACCGCCACCGCGTGGGCCACCTCGTGGTGGCGGAAAACCACGGTTCATGTCGCCCGGACCGCCGCCACGATTGTCGCGTCTCGGTGGCATTCCGCCACCGCTGCCACCCCCGGCACCACCGCCGCCGCCACCGCCACGACCGGGGCCGCCAAATCCGCCGACCTTGCCTTGACCACCATCGGCGTTTCCATAACCGCCGTAGTCATCGGCATAAAAATCGTCAAAGTTGTGCGGGTCATAAGGATTGTTCACACCCTTTAGCGGCGACTGGAAAATAAAAACTGGACGTTATACTTCTTTTCCTCAAAAATTGACTTCCTATACGTATTATACTCTGCATATACATTCAACAATGTTAAATTCATAATTTCAAATTATGCCCAATTGGGATTATTTTTTATTATGTTTATAGATCGTAACTATTCTTACACTGTTAAATATCAAAGGACCAAGTAATTCAAACCATTAAATTAATAATATTAAATTAATAATATTTTGATGTTTTTAACGTTCGTATGTATCAAAATCAATCCATTTCTGTAGTTAGTTTTAAAGTAAACAATATTAACGTATGCACTTAGTAAATAAAGTAAATTCAGTTCAAATTTAATACATTTTCTCGAGGTAAACTGCTTAACTTCATTGTTTTAAAGTTAAATTAATGACATACTGATTAAACGATATACTAATTAAATATAATTTGATATTATAAATTTGAGTGTATTCAATACGTCGTTAATTTAATTAAAATAACAGAGCTAAATAATTTAATTCAAGAAAATGTATTAAAAATTCGATTCACAATTTCAGTTTTTTATTATTTACTACGAGCATGCGTTAATATAAACGTTATTTGCTTAAAAATAACTACAAAAATGGAATAATTAACATTTGGATATATAAAAGCTAAAAATAATAAGTTATATTATTTAACTCAAAGGATTGGGTTTGAGATTGAGTTATCATTGAGTCTTTGATATTTAACAGTGAAGAAAAGAGAGAGAAACTATTATCTATAAAAACTCTCTCTCTACTCCAGTAGTAATATTAAATATTTAAACAATATAAGAAACAAGTATCTTTTCGTGTCTAAGAAAAAGAATCGACATCTGAGTACGCGAAAGATGCAACGACGTAGTTATTGAAGATTTATAAAAAAATCATGATCTCATAGTATACTCACAGTCTTAATGGTGGCGATCAATTCACGTATACATTCGATGCACGTCGTGGGTTTCCCGCAGATGCTGATGAGACGATCCGTGCTGCGGGGACAGGTGTTTGAATAGATCTTGATTCTGGCTCCGGTTTTCTGAAACACAAAAGTATTCAAATATATTAGACAAAACCCGTAATAAGCTCAGAATTCGTGAAACTTTCAGTATATGGATTTACATTGAAAAGAAGACTAACGCAACTACATTCGATCTTTCGGTCGAGACAAGTTAGAGGTATGAACGGCAATTCTCTCATTTTTCAAGTCGGAATGTATGATTCCGCAAATAAAAATATGTCAAACGTCCACAAAAATGTCGAGATTGCAACCTCATATTTCTGTCTAGTATTTCTTCTACATTCGCGGCTAATCATCGCTGACGTAACGAAGTAAGTAACTCAACTCTCCCGTGCGCGTTCAACGGTTCTTTTTAACTACTCCGACAATCGGACATGAGTCACGATCAGGGTGTGATACTCCGTCTACTTCCTCGACAGCTCTTACCCACCCCTGATTAACGACTTAACGATGCTCGAATGCTTTCGTAGCCGCTCCACTAATCTGCGCTCCGCTCTTTGCCGCGGGGTTTCTAAGTAATACCTCGAGACGACAATGTTCAGATCGCGTGCTGATAGTCGTTTAACAGTCTACCTGTACCTTCCGAGATCGCGATCACGCCACATTGAGACGGTTGAGTGCAAACGTGCAACCATTTGGTGGCACTTAAATTTTTCTTAAGCTAATTTGACCTGTCGTTTGCGTCGTAAACTCGTAAGCTTTCGATGATAACGGACGAGATTTACAGCTGTAGGTAAAACGAAATAATTCTGCGTACTGAATTGAGGAAGGAGGGACGATGAACTGACAGGCAGTGATGTATATAGGGTGGATATGGACGGAGATAGCTTTGATGCGAGTGATGCAAAAACGAAAAATTGCCGATAACATCGACAGCCGTGTGCTCAAACGCGAAATATCCAAACCAGATAACAATCTAGTACGCCCGTGTACATACTATACACGCGTGCTGCATCCGGTGGTATTGTGCGGAGAAATCGCGCCGTTTAATTACGTAGATCAAAGCAACCCACTCCCTGAAATCCCGCTAGCCCGTGCAGATCCATTCAAACGCTTCTGATGCAGACAGTCCAGCGATATTGAGGCTCACATGTGTCTGGTATATCTGGATGCAGCGTTAATCCCGAAGTGAATCGAGAAGTGTATATAAAAGACAGAAGACGAAAGAAAGAACGCAAACGCAATTCATATATTCTGAAAGTTTAATCGACTCACGGTGCAAGAAATGGCACTATTTTTTTTTTTTTTTTAGAAAGAATAAACGGAATAGCGTGCGCACGTTGTATTCTGCTTCGGCGTAACAAAAAAACAACCTATTCTGTTCGATCACCAGCGAATAAACGGCGAACAGTCGCGCAGTTATTTATACATATAATAATTAGTCAATGGAATTCATAAACGGAGGACGAGCCGAGAAATAAAAGCTCGGTGTCGCGTTGTATAACCAGCTATCCAAGCGATTTGAAAGAAAAATCGATGGGAATTATTATCGCAGATCGATATTTACACGACATGCGTCGGGGGCGGGAAAAGCCAAATGTGATTTTAATCGAATTAATTAATTCTGCTGATCACGTCCACAAATCAGCCGGATTAATCTCGACGCGACAGAAACGAGAATGGGCGCGAATTCTTGTATGTAACAACGGTTTTGGATTGACAAGGATTGTTCTTACCAGTCCAGCATTATTTCTGATATTTGGATCATTTTCACCGGAAGTTTGCGAGTGTTGACATATCAAACTTTCATTTGCATTGATATACAAAATCAATTTTCTACAAAAAAAAGAAACAAGTGTATTATCTATTCTGTACTGTGAAAGTAAAATTAATTGCCATGAGAACTGGGCTCTAGAACTTTGATAATTAATCGAAGAGATGAAATAAAAGGCAAAGATGAAAGCCACTCGCTGTAATGCTTTTTGACTCGCGTTTCTTGCGGGAAATAAGGTGCTTCGAGAGAAAGAGAGAGAGGTGGATCCTCGAAAGAAATTTCCGCCTGTCCGCTTGAACTTACCTCTGACATTCGATATCGGTAAACTTGAAAAGAACAATGTGAATCGACCGTTCTTTGAAGGAACCAATGTGCCATAAATAGCAGTATAAAATAGTAGAAGAGTAGTAGGAGTATGCGCTGCGAGATTTTGCGAGGAAGTAAGATTATTTCGGTCGAAACATCGAGCGATATCACAATGCATTATGTACACCGTACGAAAGCTGCTTCCCACGCGCCCTTGATCGTTCTACCAACGCACAGAGCTATATGGATTTTCAATTTTCCAGAAAGTTTCCGAGCTTCCGAAACTTGCCGCGATCACAGAGAGAGAGAGAGAGAGACTTCTGTCCCCCCTTTCGAGTGAACATTTTCTTGTGAATATTCAAGAGTCGAAGGAGATAATTAATTGTCCCAAGTTTCAAGGTCGCAACTTGAAATAATTATGCCAGCTCGAATGAATATTATACGTGCTAATAATTTTCTGAAACTAGTGTAAGTTTCATATTTATATCATTCGCAACTACCGTTATCTTTGAGAGAGACGTTATCAAACGTAAAGACATCGGTATTAGAAGATTAAAGTGGCTGTAACGTGCTTATGGTAATTCGGCGCAAACATCCAGAGGACTTCAAAGTCCTTGCACTGGGAGGATAACCATACGAGAGCGATTCGTGAGAATAAACCGCACTGCGCCACCAAATTCGTGTTTGCTCAACAGTTCTCCGTTGCAACGGCATCCGTAGCACAAGTTTACAAACTTCAACGGTATTACTGGCGGCGTCATGCACTAATCTAAACGTAAATCGCACTATTCAATTCGACGTGACGAACAAGTTCCGTCCCACAGCTAGTTCCGAATGCTTTTACATAAAGGCCAACGAATATTGATATCGAGTATATAAATGTTAAACAAGTTCAAGGCGTTATCACTTGACGATATTTGTCTTTTAATAAAACATTCAATGACAAAAGAGTCTTGAGCAACGTATTTCGTTCCAGTTATGGTGGGTGTTAGTCGAACACAAAGACTTCTTGTATTTCTTAATTTTGACTTTTATCTCGTTTCTCGAGCAATTTTCATCAGTTGTCAATCGATTATCTTTGTGAAATCGATGCCTGTATATCCAAAGGTGAGTCAAAAATAATACATTATGATAAAATAATTTAGTTTCTACAATAGACGATCGCGGACGATTTAAAGAGGGACGATTTCTATATCACAGATTGTTTAGTAAATATTTTTTTAATTATTTTACTTGTTATTATTTCAAAATAGATTTACTATTTTTTTCTATAAAAAGTATGAATAATTAACAAATTAATTTGATTTCTTTGTAACGTGTGTACGGTTGACTTATATATGATCATTCCGAATCTTTCAGTTAAAATTAAAAAACAAGACATCATTTTAATCAGAACACTTGCGGCTGTCGTCGAAACTAAAATTATGTAAATAACTTAATTTTTTTCTATTTTTTCAGAGCTCGAGAAAACAAAAAATAAAGATGAACCTTTTTTTTTTTTTTTATAAATGAGTACTATTATTTATTTAATAAGCGTAATGAATAATTCTAGTTCCGATGAAAGAGCAGCGAGTGCTTTGATAATATCTCATCTTTTAATTTCAGTCCAGTGAGAGATTCGGAATTGTAACAGAGATGTATATGACGTAGAAGTTAAATAGATCTATTATTCATATCTTTTATTAAAAAATAGCAAATCTATCTAACTTAAACAATATCAAATAGAGGACAAAAAGTAATTTAAAAAAAATATTTATCCACTTTTTCAAACAATATTCCTAAAAGCCTCTCGCGAAAAAACACGAGAGAATAGAAAATCTTAATACATCACAAGAATTACATTTTTCATAAATAACAAAATTTTGCTAATGAGCGTAAATTTAATAGAGAATTACTTTTATTTAATAGAGAATTACTTTTAATAGAGAATGTTTTCAGGTTATAACGACGCGCGTTTTCGTCTACAGTGCGTTTCTGCAAATCATCGCTAAGGTGCGCACCTGAAGCACTTAATGCATTTTCATGAGTTCGTAGTTCATGATGACACGAAATTCATACGCATTCATAACACATTGTTCGCGAAGAAAGACAGCTATCCACTTTGCGGCTTCAATTCATCACTGATTTACCAATTGTGCAGTGACTTCAAAGCGACACTACGGGAAAAAAAATACGTAGTCGTTGTATAGTCGCGAATTGCCTCTCAACATATCTACTACTTTCGAATCAGGTGAGAAGCTACGACATAAATTGCCACGTAAATTATATGATACATAAATGTCACAAACTCGTTGGGATAAGCCAAACCATGTTTCACAAAACGCTAAAGTACAATAAACCTTCGAAACCCTTCGGATTACTCCGATAAAAGTTCCTTCAGTATGCTGATGCACATTCGGTCAGTAGGTCAACATTTATATTCCACATACCGGACTGATTGATAAACGTGACGCTAATCGATAATAATTGAAAATTTCACATTGCGTGATTCTCGATGCCGCATGTGCGAATTTAAAAATAGGTAACAATCTATTAAATATTAATAATGCGGAAACACGATGTAGATTCCACGTCAGTCGAAATTGGACGAAGACATGAGGGGGAGAGACCATAAAATAAATAAGACATCACACGCGTGCGCGCACAAGGCGTTTGTTGGAAATGCTGAGAAAAATGAGGAGAAAGCGAAAATTCGCCGTATGAGAAAACCGTCTCGCGACGTGAAATGCGACAGGTACGAGAGACTAGCTTTCGCCGTCGACATCCGCGACGGAAACGAAAGGAAGGCAGTGGTCAGAGCAGAGTTCTCTGAATGCTCGAGATATCGAGAATACGACAAAACACGACAAAACGCGACAAAGTACGTCGTTGTCGTCGTGTTGCTTCGTTTACACCCTGTTTTCCCTTTCAAAGTGTTACTATGCGCGACCGATCTGCGACCGAGATCGAGTCAAAATAGACTGCGCATACACGTGCGCCGTCCGAAGGTGACACAAAGACAAATCTTCGGGGGTCTTCGCAAAGCGACCTTAGTCGCTGTAACGTACAGCGGCAGAGAATCACAAGTCATCGCTCGTACGTGACATCGTTCGGCGATTTCGTTTTCGCGCTTCCTCACACAAAGTTGTTTCTTCCTCAGTGATACTATAATGGATATCTACACGAACGACGAAGTTGCCCGTCACAATAACGCCAAGGATCTATGGATCGTGATACACGGTAAAGTCTATAATATCACCAAGTTCCACAAGGAACATCCTGGCGGTGAGGATTTGCTGTTGGAATTAGCGGGGAAAGATGCGACAAAACGTTTCGAAGCCATCGGTCACAGTAATGAGGCGATTCTTTTGCGCGAGAATTATAAAATCGGAGAGATAGTGGACAGTGTAAACTCCGATAAATCGAGAACGACACATACAGGTTTGTTCTTTTCCTCGATCGCTTTACCGCTAGAATTCCACTGTTTGATATTGTTCGGATCCATTGTTTGCAAATTTAGTATTACGTTATAAACGAAGTTTCGTATACAGTCGAGTTTACGTTCGCGATGTTTACGTCATCGACAAATGAAGACTTATGTACATAATAATCATTTATATTATACCTTCTATGTGTTTTCTTCTAACAGTTACATTTTAATGATTATTTTCCGATATTCACATAATCGATCTCTTTTATTTAAGATTGTCTTAAGTAGGGTCTTAAGGATTCTAGGAATAGTCACCTATTTTTTGATCACATATGGTAAACGATCGCCTAGGATATTTTTATACTCAAATTACAATTATTATTATTAACAAGTTACTATATATATTTTTTTTTTCCGATTTATCAATATATTCGAGAACACACAGTACGGATACGGATTTAATCATAATTTTCTAGAAAAAGTAAGTAGAAATCAAATGTTATTAAATAAATAGAA